GCTGGAAGGGGAAGGCAGCTTTATTGTGCATTGCCAGTTCCACCCTGTCACTGAAACTAAACATTCCCAGGCTAAAGAGATGAACAGACACATCACAGACACAGAAGCTTTGTTGTACCATTCTAACATAACACACCCTAACTATTGTGGTTTAGTTAAGCAAGAAAAGAGTATTTTGTTTTAAAAATATGTTATGTGCAACTGAAAACATCAGTTTCTTAGGGTCAAGTTCACCTAAGCTGAGTGGGAAGCCATGGTGAGAAGGAGCAATGCTGATGCAGAAGCGCAGTCTCCCGCTTGTGGTGCCAGAGTGTCCTCTGCACAGAAAGCAGAAGCCCCAGACAGCGAAACAGCAACACTCCTGGAGACATGGGACACAAATCAGAGGCACGTAGGGTCTTGTTTTCAAATACTACAACTAAACTCATTTGGCAGAGTTAAAACCAGTATTTTATTATGCCATAAATACTACTCTGTAAGATTTGACACCAGTAACATTCCAAATCGATTTTCAACAGCTCCTAACTGGGTTAAAATAAAAAATCAATTTCAGGCAATTTGGTGAATGAAGACCATAAACAAATAACTTCTGATTATTATCTCAAAAGAATCAATAGCTGGTCTTGCCCAGGCTAGACAGCAAAGACATTTCTAAATAAACAAGATTATTATGACTGCAGTGATAAATAGGGTGTGAAGCATCCAGCTACTTAACATAAAGGTAGTAGTTAGAATAGTTAAGACCAGACTGTAATCAAAAATAAGAAAACAACCAACACAGGATGAAATATATCATAAACAACGTGGGTTTTTCAGTGTTTCTCAGTGTTCATAAAAGTGAATCTTCTGATCAGATCCCATAAGGGACACAATCTGCTTCTTCCATATGTGTGGAAGAAATATATGCAATTAAGAAAATTAGTTTTCTTAACCTGTAATATGATTCCTACATGTCATAAAAACTTTGATATATTTTTTTGGAAGTTTTTGCCATTTCATGCTAAAGCCTATGTTAATAAACCTTTTCACTGTTTCCAATGGAAAATTAGACTTTTTTCCCAACCCAAAATGCACTCTTCTCTACATTATTATTGTTGTAAAATGACCTAAGACAGGTTTTACAAATGATCTTTTTAAGCCAAATAATAATTTTGCCTTTCACTCAATTATGCTTAACATTTTTCTAACTGAAAAAAACATCTGAGAAGAATAGCTGAGTTACAAGTATCAGTTTAAACTTAGTCAGCACATATGACTTAATAATGAAACCTCCCTTTTTATATTAAGTAACTTTTGTGAATGTATTGATGACTTATCTCCTGTAATATATCTAACTTCTTAAATTTCTTACCAATTAAGTTTCACTAATATAAAGAGATCCCTGTTTTATCCCATTTTCAGCTTGAGCTCAAGGAAGAGAATAAATCTAGCATGTAATTTTAGTTTGGCAGTTTGTATTGCTTTTCATATTTCTTCTGTGGATGAAATGAGATAGCACCCAGAGCTTTCAGAAAAGGTGCAATTAATAAAATTTTATTTTTAAATAAAATTTGTAATAAATAATATTTTATTAACATTTAATAAATAATATTTAATTATTTAAAATAAAGGCAATTTTTTCTATAAACCATATGAATCCCTGACACTTGTGTGGATTCAGAGGTTAAAATGGTTTTATCCATGCTAATCACTTCAAATATTGCAAATGGTGATCTGTTCTTCTGGATAAAGGAAACCGAGTCTGTAACCTGGTTCATGAACATTATGCATGACATTGAACAGACATCAGTGTTAATCCTAGCAAAATCCAGTGCCACTAGAAGTAATCACACTGTCTAAAAATCCGTACAGTTTCTATTAGTTAAGTCATTATTTTGCTTATAGAGTTGTGCCATATCCATGTGATGTTTAATATTACCTGGTTGCCATCTCTCTAGATATAACTTGAGTTCAAGCAAAGTTGAAATGATTTTTAGTGTAACTGCTGATGACTATTGAGGACAAAGAGCAGTACAGAACAAATAGTGTATTCAAACATCAATTAGTAACTATAGTTTTTCCAGCTAGTCCATATTTTTCTGATGGACTTCTATCAAGGGAGAGTTATGAGAAAAATATGCACAGCTTTTGGTCATCACTCAGTTGTCTCCTAACCATGTGAAAACTAAAATGCCAAAGTGTGAGTTTGTTATTACTATGAAAGCAAACAGGCTGCTCATTATGTCTTCTACTCATCTTTGTTAGCACCTTCTTCTAGCCTGCAGTCATAAACTGCCTTTTTTCTTTCTTCTTCCTCTTATTCGTCTTCGTCTTCTTCCTGCTGTTCTGTATTTCCTCCACATTTTCTTCTCATTCTTATGTAGCTTAAAAAGCCCATCTGAACTTCTCACCTGTTTTCAAACAGACTGGTGGAGGGAGAGGTGGATGAAGTTCAGGATGCTCAATGCACGTTGGGAATCGCTGCATTCGCATGCCACATTATATGCAATATTCTCTAAAAGATAACATCATTTGGGGAAAACGTTTCTTGTCCTGACAATAATTTACCTGGAGCACATGAACTCTCCTCGGGTAACTACTCTCCAGTGAGGATCTATTTATTTTTTTAATTTACCAGCACTTTCAATTAGATAGGAAGTATTGGGTTAGCCAGATGCTCGTACCGGTGAGGAGGTTGGCTGAAGGCTGGGTAAAGGTTACTGAATGTGTTTTGGATGAGAAAGACATCTAGAGGAGCGCGATATTATTTGTGGAACAACAGTCGGATGGGAGCAAACAGGAGAAACAGCCGAAAAGCGTTCTGCCTCTCGGGAGCTAGGACGCTCGCGCAGGACAAATTCGTCGCCCTCGGGAGGTTTTCGAGGGTGAACCAGACGTGGTTGGTCGCTCCCGGACGGGATGCCGGTGAGTGAGGCGCTGCCCCTGCGGGACAAGCACAGGCAGGAGCGGACCCCCCCTCTGCCCCGCCTCCCCAGCACCAGACGCCACTTCCTACCAGCATGCATCACTTCCTGCCGCCGGCGGGCGGAAGTGACGTCTCCTCGCCGCTCCGGCCGGCACCGCCTGCAAGGCTTGCGGGCGGGGCCTGGTTGCCATGGTGCGGGGGGGCGGGCCCGGGGGGCCATGACCGGACCCGGAACTGGACCCGGAACTGGACCCGGACGCGGACGCGGACCCGGACCGGACCGGGAGCGCCGGTGAGGGGCGGCGGCGGGGCGCTGAGGCGCGGCGGGGCCCGGGCTCACCCCTCGGCGATGGCGGGTCGCTGCCTGAGCCCCGGCCTGTATGGGTAGAGTCACTCCCCGTGGAGATCCCGCCTGATCCACAGCCGCAGGGGCCGAGGGCGGTTCCCGATCGTTCTCGAGTGGCACCAGGCGTTGTTAACGGGACTCCGATTCGCGGTGCTTTCGACCATGAAACCGGACGCGTCCTAAATTTTGCTCTTGGTAATGCTTGTGGCGCGCTTATACGCTGAACTTTAACCTAAATGCCTGCCTTACTTGTTTAACAGCATTGCGTGTATTTTGTTGCTGTTCCAGGAACTGGCAGGGATAAGACTCTTGTCTTGTATACACTTCTCTCTTCTGTTTTGGAAGAATCTACTTGTACTTTGTTTGAAAGTGATCTATTTGTGCACTAAATTAAAGTTAATGTAGCCCATGGTAATTCAGACTTTTTGGCTGCACTGTGCATCTTACAGGGCAGCGTCACAGCTGAGATCCCAACTGCTTCAGTGAGGAGTTTCACACAGAATCATAGAATGGTTTGGGTTGGAAGGGACCTTAAAGATCACCTAGTTCCAGCCTCCCCCCTGCCACGGCCAGGGACACCTTCCACTGGAATCAATCAGGTTGCCCAAAGCCCCGTCCAACCTGGCCTTGAACCCTTCCAGGGAGGGGGCAGCCACAGCTTCTCTGGGCAACCTGTGCCAGCGCCTCAGCACCCTCACAGGGAATAACTTCATCCTTACATCTAATCTAAACCTACCCTCTTTCAGTTTAAAATCATTGTCCCTCATCCTATCATAACACACCCTGACAAAGAGTCCCTCCCCATGTTTCCTGTAGCCCCGTTTAAGTACTGGCAGGCCACTACAAGATCAACCTGGGGCCTTCTCTTCTCCAGGCTGAACAACCCCAACTCTCTCAGCCTGTCCTCACAGGGGAGGTGCTCCAGCCCCCTGATCATCTTTGTGGCCTCCTCGGGACCTGATCAAGCAGGTCCATGTCCTTATGCTGGGGGCCCCAGAGCTGGACACAGGACTCCAGGTGAGATCTCACAAGAGTGGAGTAGAGGGAGAGAATCACCTCCCTCGACCTGCTGGCCACACTCGATGCAGCCCAGGATACAGTTGGCTTTCTGGGCTGCAAGTACTTGAAATATATCTGAATGTTCACCAAATAAAGAGGTCTGCAGAACACCTCCTATTGAATGCTTTAAATTTTTAAATTTATTTGCCCAGCTGGAATGACTTATTAACTAGGTGGACCTGGGCAAGAATTTTCTGACACCATCCATTTCTAATAAAGGAATTTTGACAGAGTCAAAATATTATGTTTTTAACAATCCAGTGTTCTAATTTTATTAAAAATGTAACAATGTTAAGTGTCTTTTAGACTATCTTAATATTATCAAATTTATCAGTGAGACAGGAAATCCAGCTCCTAACCAAATCTACAGTCCAGGATTTCTGGACTGATACATTTCTCTTCAGAACACTGAAAACGGTCTATTTACTGATAGAACACAGGCTCTTCTTTAGCATTTTCTTTTATGTTCTTTAGCATAATATTTAGTGTTGTTTAACTTTTTGTTATTTGATATTTTAGTAAAAAGATTTGTCTTCATGAAACAAACATAGAAACAAACTGCTAATGTGCTTATTACACTCTTTTAAATTCCCCACTATCTTAACAGCCATACAAGTGAAACGATTAAAAAAAAGTAGGCATTTTGCCTCTGAATTTCCATTATTAATAGATGATTGCTTGACTTGATTAATGCAAGTACTGTAATATTGTGAGTGTTTTTTTCAATTCTGTCTGGTTTTGCAGGCCTTGTATTTCACATGACTTAGAATATTACAGCACAGATCATGCTATATAAACAGATATCAAAGAAATACCAGAATTAAAGGAGCTAGCTATTGCTACACAAGATTTAAGCAAGGTAGATTAAGAAAGTATCATAACTGAGTCCTCCTCATGCTATAGAACGTGTACTTTTGTCACTGTCATCTCTGTTTTGTGTAATTCTTCAGGAATCTGTTTTGGCTGGTTTTCTATCTTTGTATACCTATTTCAGCTAAGTTTTATAGATTTCTATTTTCAAAATAGAATAATATGCAAGTATGGATAGATGGATTAGAGACTGTATTACTTGGCTATCTGAATCAGAGAAAATTATGGAGGGATTAACATTGTTTAATCTACAAAAAAAGATAAATGTAAGTGAAATTTCTGAAGGTTTAAACCTATCTAATATTTGCTAAGAGTCTGGAAATCAACGTGGGCCTGTCAGTTCCATTGATACTTGCCTGATATCAGTTCTGGATATGACTAAAGAGACCTCACAGATCTTATTAAAGAGATTAAATATGATAGTGCAGTGCTTCTGCAAATTACATACAAAAGCAAATTAGCATGAAGATCCAAATCTACTCTTGTCTAATCTTGCACAATTACAAGTGTATCTTAATCAGTGGCTGAAATGTAATGCTTAGACTTGGGAGGGAGGGTGCAGTCCATAAAGAGGCACAGTGCAGTCTGCTTAACATAACTGCCTTAGCAATTTGTGGTGGAAGACGGGTGCTTCTAGAGACGTGAAGAGGGAGATCTGTTCCATCAAAATGAAGTTTCTATCTGTCCCTTTACTGGGTAAGAAATTGCAAAGGAAGATGCTTCAGGACATAAAATAATTATGTGCACAAAAGGTCAATTTCCTAGAAAAAAAATCTTTTCTTTTTTAGTTCTTAGATGGTATATATAGAGATATGAACTAAAATTAAATGCTTCTGGTATTATTTTTAGAGGCAGTGTCTCATTCTACCTCACATCCTTGAAAGACTTAGAGTATTTTGCTCATCTGAGTCAGTGGCAAGCAGAATGCATTTCCTTTAACACTTTCTCTGTTACTTCATGATAAAATGCAGATATTTTTATTCTTTATACCATAATCACTTTTTCAGAGTGTCGAATTAGGATTATATTTTGGCTTATATTTTGATATCTATATGATACATATGTGTGAGTCTTTGCAGAAGCTGGCTAGTTACCATCTAGCAGATACTTGAGTGTTCCTAAATTAGTTATTTTTTGAGAAAGCTAAGTATCTTTCCTGCATAAATATTCTCCGCCTGTCAAATATTGAATCCAAATATCTTTAAATATGCAGTACTGAAGGTTTGGAAGGGGAGTTTTTAGTTTAATAGAGAGCACTTGGTACATACAGATACAAAGTATATTTATATTGTGGGTCAGTTCTCATTATGCTTTCCTTGCCTGGGACTACTGAAATATATGCTTAATATTGTATATTCAGATCTTCCATTTCATAAATTACAGTCTTCTTAATGTCAGGTTTAAATTTTTATCAACCACAGGAGTGACACAGTGGAGTGGTGCTTACAGTAAGCATTACAAATATGTCATTGATACTTCTGACACAGCAATATATGTTCAATTTGGGCACATTTTTATAATTTATGTTTTGTTCTTCAAAAGTAATTACAGTTTTCTTCATATAATTTTTAATTTCATTAGAGAACATTATGGTGCAATATTTCTTATTCTCATTATAGAAGGCTCCCCAAGACTTTATTTAACAGTCAAATTAGCTATTTGGGGTGAGAATCAGCTCACAGATTAAGAAACCTACATTTAAGTGTCTCATGGCAGGTATCTTTGTCTGAGCCAGGCATCTAAACTTCCCATGTAGTCAGTGCAGATCTGTCTTTGTAGTCAGTGGAGATGTGTAAAGATACGCCGCTTGGCCTCTGTCTCTGGTTTCAGAAAGGGATGGGTTTCCTCTAGCCCTGTGTCATGTCTGTGAGCCCTGCATAAGATGTCTTTCATACCTTATTTCTTCTAACATTAAACCATGTGTGCATGAGCAACTGAATCAAGTTCCCTTGACTTCATTGCCTGTAACAGAAACTTACCTGGTTCTTACATAGGCACCTAAATTTAGGTGTTTTACTCTGCAGATGGAAACTCCTGCTGCCAGGCTAAGATGTCCAAAGCATGGGTATGAAGCTGTGAGCTCTGACAGGTAGAGACCCATGCCCAAGTGACTGTTGTAGATCAAAGAAGATACTGTAGGCCATAGAAATGCATTAGATGTTTGTGTTTAGGTGAATTAATCTAGCCATGAGCATGTTGAATAGAGTAATGGAATGGTCATGCTTTTCTTTTGTCTAGCTCACTTTGTGTATAAAAATAAGGAAGACTAAGACTGATTTTTAGCTCATTCACTCCCTTCAGCAACATTTGTTCATCTACAAAAGCATCATTCAAGCACAGCATGAATTAAAAATCAAAGAGCAGGCTTCAAATCTTTGTAAATACATAAGATCAACTGTCAGACATTGAATTTTTACCTAAACAGGTCAAGAGAAATATTCTTGTTCACTTACATGTTAATCTTCTTCACTAGATGCCAGTTCTCGTTCATATACCCTTTGTGCAGATTGATACAATATTTTACTTAATGGAAAGTAACTCACAGAAGTATTGAAAATAAGGAAATAAAGTGCTAATAGAAATTTAGAAGTGACTGCCTAAGCCTCAGTTTCAAGCTTCTGATATGAACATTAAAAAAGCAAATATTAAAAAGATCGATGCAGCAACAAAAAAGGGATAGATAAGGAACATGAGCTTACTGGTTTTTTGTTTTGTTTTGTTTTTTTTTAGGTTTAAGAGCTTGGATAGCGTTTAGTTTTCTTAAATAAAAAAGAACAACATATAAAAGTTGGTTGGTTCAGTTATGTAATTGCTTGTGCCCTTTTATTGTACATCAAAGTTCTTAGTAATTTGTTACAAATTGAAATGCAGAAAGATGTCCAAATTTGACACAGCTACCAACAACAGTTATGTGATGCACTGTCTGTTCTCAGAGCAAATACTGAGGTGGGTTTTAATCACTAATGTGGTAGTAGACTGCTGGTCTGAGTATTAATATGTCAGAAACTAATTACAGAGAATAGCTTTGTACTTCAAAACGTGGAGAAGGGTGTATTTGAATTTTTTTGTAAAGAGTGAGCATTTAAACTATATTGAATAGAAACAAAATAATTAACACAAAAATATAATTGGTTTTGCAAGTTTTGCATTTCCCCCCCTTATGCAGCTTAGCATACTCAAGTACAGTTTAGAATAACATCATAGTAACTACAACATGAATGAGGTATGTTAGAAGATAGCAGTGAAAGAAAGCAAAAATTGCAGTTTTTAATTTCTTGCCTAGTGAAAAACAATTGACCATAAAACAGTCAAGCAGTTTAGGATTAGACCCCAGTATGCAGTCATTGCTTGCTTTTCCATGTTACTGAGGGTGGTGAAATCAAATGAGGGGATGAGCATGCTTTAATTCGCAGCAAATGAAGGGAACTTGCTTTAATTGACAGTCTGTGATTGGGTCTGTTAGGAGGCAGAAACATAGTAATCACATAAAATGCTCTTTGGCTCAATAAAAATGAAAATGTCTTGATAAATTTGGGAGTTGAACTCAGCAACTGAATAGTGAGGACCACTCATGGGCACTCCAGGTGGCTTTCTGCTGCCCTCTAGAGACTGTGCCATAAACGTTCTTATTAACAAGTTTCAGGATGTAATCAGAACAGTAAAAATAATCCAAATTAGAAAGTATGGAATTTAAATTTCATGTTTCTTCCCCAAAATGCAAATGAAGCATGCAAGTTTGTACTTCTTAACAAAACAAAGTAGGTATTAAAAAAAAAAAAAAAGAAAAAAAAATAAATCACCCACCTACGTGGATAGTTGAGAAAGGTAGTGGGTAAAAATATTTAGCTATAATTATCCTACTGTTGTTTATACATAGCACTATCAAGTAAACATTATAGTGGGAAGCGTGCACAGTATATTAGCAGCATCTGTTATATAATACAGTATATAGGAAATCATAGAGAATCATGGAAGGAGAAAATAATGTATTTCTACAGAATGAATAATCTCCTAGACATGTGAAGGGACAGGAGAACAGATGCACTTGTGAATGAGTTAAAGCCAGCATTAGTCATGTGGATGTTTCAGACAACAGGATAGAGAAACGTAAAGCAAAGGAGAGAAGTTCACAGAAAAGATGTAAGGAACTGTGAGGCTGAGGAATTTGAAAAAGATGCAAGAGGAAATCAGAGTGCTGAAAACACTGAGCAAGTGACAGAAGATGATATGCATTTCAGGGATGTTGCATAGCTTAAAGTGGGTGATTAGAAGGCAAAAGCTAGGCTTTAACAGTGAAGGAAAGGGTAGCTTCTCTCAAGAAAGAAATTACAAGATTTATTAAGACTTCACAGAGCAGAAAGATGTTCATTTTTTACTTTTGTTCATCTTCATTTGTGAATAATGATATGTAGCACCATCACTTGGAGAAAGAAATTCTGCTCCAAAACCAAGTGTAAAATAGGGGGGTTTTGTGAGAATTTGTGGAACCTTCCTGGCAATGACTTTAACATTTTAAGCAGAGTTGGTTTGAAAGAGCACTGTAGACTATATAGATTATTTGAAGAAAAACTATATTCCCTTTTAAAATTAGATAGTAAAACACTGCAGTCACTTCTGAGAAAAACTAAAAGAGTGGCATTTGTCTCCTTTAGCACTTTATCAGTAATGTAGACATATTTATGATGGAGCTGTGCTGACTTTGCTTTCTTGATAGTCAAGGCAGAGAAATAGGTATTTTTTAGGACACAGTTCATCTCATCAATTTTAAATACCTACTTAAGGGTGAATTGAGTTGTCCTCTGTACTCATCTGACATTGAACTAAATCTCCACAGATTACTGAAAAAGCAAAGTGTGACTAGCTAAAATGTGAGTGTCTACATGTGATCAAGTACTGCTGCACAGACCATCTAGAATAATGCAAACTTCATTTTCTGTGTGAAAAGTTTTCTTGGCCAAATCCAGCTCAAGTAATCATTCCATGGTAAAAAACACATATTAATTCCATGGAGTATATGGTAGCAGTGTTCTCAGGGAATTGCAGGGTCGTGTTCACTTTGGTTTGCTTTCTCTTTGGAAGCACTTGCATTACTCTTAGATTCTTCTGGTCCAGCTTCAGCAACCAGGTAGAGATTTGCCTTGCCCCAAGCATGTGTATAGCTGTGTAGGTATAGTTTGTATATATGTAGGTATAGCATGTGTATAGCTTTGTAGGGTGCTCTGAGAAAGGAGAACTGAGTGTAACTCAGTTAAACTGAGGAAAATGTGGCTTTGGAAATAATTGAACCCTCCTTTTTTCACTTCCTCAGCAAGTGCTACAAATGTTAATGTATTACACAAGAGATAGTAATTTGTGCTAATATTAATATTTTAAATAATTTGACGAATATTTAATCACCTAACCTTGGAAAAAAACTTAAACTAGGTACCTAGGTACTCCTGAAAGAAGAGCTCAAACACACTTTTGACCATAATGTTTCCTAATGGCCAGCTGTTGGCAGTACGCCACGTTAGAGAGACATTTCTGTATAATGGGAGGCTGTACATGGGTTTTTTTGAGAAAGTCTTATTTTTATTTTTTACTACATAAGAAGTAAATCATCCACTGTAGGTGCTCTTTTAAGAGGTCCTTTAAGGCAATTTAAACACTTTGCTTGTGCAGTCAAGAAGATGCACTAATAAATGCCAGTAATGCAAAGTTAACATTTTAATAGTTTATTTTGTTTATTCTGTATTTATACTGTCTTTTGTCCTTATTTTATGTCTTACATGTTTTAACTATATTCTTTGAAAGTTTTAAAATATAGGATATGCAATTGTTTCCAAATTTCCTTTTTCCTTGCTGTGAATTTGAATCCTCTAATATTACAGATTATTTATTAGATATAACACTTTTTGTTTAAGCATTTGAAATGTCAGATACAGTAAAATTTTATTTTCATTATTAGAACTCTTGAATGTAAAATATGCATTATGCTGTGTTCAAATCACAAAAGATATTCTGTAGCTTTTGAAGAGGGTTATGGGGTTTATGGAAGACTCTCACAGAATATTTTCTTGTGATAGAAGTATTACAACATAAATGGAGAAGACACAGCGTGTTCAGCAGGAAAACTTGTGAAGCTTTTATGTAACAAGCTACACAAGGAGAGTCCATAACTGAAGATCTGAAGAGAAAACTGCAGGAATACAAAAAAAAAAAGAAAGGACTGAAGTGGTATGTTTTTGTAAAAGATCATAAACTCATTATCCAAATGTGGAAATCTTTAAACATATTCAGCAAATTGTATTTCTAGCGCCATTATTTTTATAGGAAACATTAGGTTGGGAAGATACTAGAATGCTATTTGATATTAGCCTGTGCTATTGTAAGTATTTTGACTAATTTATAGCACTTTATTAATGTCACACAAATTTATATCAGTGGTAGTCTGATCAAGAGTTGGTAGTTGATCTACCTTTTTTGATCTGTTTTTTAATATTTTATAAAATGTTTTTGTAAAAACTTAACGAAAAATATCCTGAAAAATCAACTCAAAAAGTTTTATAAAACTTTTATAAAATATTGCTCGTATTTCTGTTTTTGCTCTATGCATGAATATCTTAGTTACAGAAGAATCCACCTCTGTCCTACTGTTACTTACAGAAGTACTTACATTACATCTTGTCATGTTTCTCTTTGTTCCTACTGTCTCTAAATAACTTCTAAAATAAATATTTTTTTTCTTTAGAATTGTGTTGTTAATCATTTAAATCAGTATTTTGAATATTCACTGAAGATAAATATTCATTTAAAATATAAAAATAAAATACAAAATCCCTCAGGTTTGATTTTTCTTAACTCCTGCAATAGAAGTTCATGGAGTGTGACAGCTACTTGGGTACAACCATTAATAGGTATGAGAAGCCCTTTTCAATTGTGACTCATTTTCCCCACCCAATTGCAGACATAAGGAGCTCATTATAATGACTAAGAACTGTCCTACTTATTCAATACATCGCCTTCAAATAGGAAACATAATTCAGTCTCATATATCCATACATAATCTTTGTACCCTTTCTGTAACATAAACCTGTCCTTCTCCTACCCAAGTTAACGATAGTCCTCTGCAGTTCACTGAACTGTGAGAAATCTGTAACACTTTTTCAAAACCTTACGTAAGCTTTAGGCTGATAAAAACCAGTCTCAGGTGCTAAAGATGTTCTAGCTAAGCCTGACACTGAATTGCTTTTTCATCTCTGCTCTCTATGTATCATTGAGATGTGTAGTACTAGTAAGACCTGAAAATGCCATCTGACTGTGCGGGCAGCCACCTAAGGCAGACAGTATAGCCTTTAAAGGAGAAATATGGGATCCACAATGTACCCCCTGAGGAAACTAGGTATCTCTCCCTAGTTGGAATTCATAGGTTGTAACCCAACCTCTTCTAGAACTGGGTTGTTAAGCCAGGTCAGTCATTCCTGTGTACAGAAGGAAGTGATAGTAATTCCTTCTTGCAACAGACTCTAAACTACAACAGTCAACAATTTATTTCCCTTTTGCTTCATCTGAGTAAGTCTCAGTGAGGCTGTTTTACTTTATGAAAATATGTGTATTTAAATGTTCCCTGTGACAGGGGCTGCATTCCAGGCTCCCATGTGAATATACTAAGAAGCTGTCATTGCATTCTTTATCGTTCAGTTTTCTTCTCCGAAACAGGAGGACCCTGGTTGTGAACAAGGGTCATAAGGATATGAACACATCTATGTATGCAAGTGGGTTTCTATGCATATACACGCAATATTTCAAAAGCTTGATTTGCATTGGTGAGAGAAACTGACTGAGGCTTAAAATCTGAACACAATAATATGAACAAAAAAGCTGAAATCTCTCAGAAAAAATGTATTATTTGACCAAAAAGTGATAGTCTCATAATCAAGGAAGCTAACAGCTTTTACTAAAGGCCTGTTTTAGTTCCCTGGAAAGATAGAAATTAAAACAACATATAACAAATGTGGGAATAGGGATAAAATATAGCAATTAATATAATTAGAAGTTTTTGAAGGGTATAAAATGGACAGTGTATCAAGAAAAGAACTATTAATGGCACCATTAAAGACAAAATTATGTATTGGGAGCAAAGGACGTGGCTGCAATTGTAGGAGCCTACTACTAGGTTAAAATTGTGGAATTATTAATAACGTGAAAATCCTGGAGGCAATTTAAAAAAAGATGTCCTATATATAGGAGGAGGCAGAACAAGGTGCTTGTATCCCAGGTTAACAAGTACTTTCTGCTTTATTAACCTGCAGAAAGGATTTTACATTTACACGGAGTACATATTTCTAGATGAGGAAACCCAGATAACTTAGATCCAGGGTCCCCCAGAGACTGCTTATTAAATAGATTTACTTAAAGAATTATTAAATAGTTTACTTGATTACAGAATCTGAATACCTTGCCAAGGAGATGACTGAGGGATATTTGCCTAGGGTTTGGGATCTATACAGCATTCTCTTAAGAAGTACTGTACATGAAAACTTTATTCTATCTCCAGGTCACAAGAAGTATTCTAACAACAGTTCACAAAAATTCTCTAGTTGATCTTTGTCCCAGGCATGTATCTGAATGGATGAAAAAAGGGAAAGTAGAGAAGTCTGCTTGGCATAAACAATTAGTGTCAAATTGGCTGGCTAAATCCTTAGGCTGCACTTCAAGGACTACTTCAGTACCTCAGCAGTCTTTAACTGATCCATACAGCAAAACTTTGTCATGAGCAGCTTCTTCTCCAAGAGTTCTGCATTTATACAAAGCAGAAACAAAAAAACATTTGCTGTTTTGTTGTGTCAAAGAGTTTGCAATGAAATGCCTATTTTCCCTCTGAAGCTATGCTGTCTTTAATCCTTTTTCCAGTTCTGACATGCCTTGAAAAGGTAAATGGAGCTATTTGGGCCAGTAGAAACTTGTTAGTCCCTTCCTGGATAGTGTCTGCATTTTGTTACATTGAAAAGACCTCCGTAGATGACAAATACAGCAGCTACAAGATGAAATTGCTGTGAGAATGAATGATGATAAGAGCATATTGTTAAAGGAATGATGGCATCTTGATGTCCCAAAATCTTCAAGACTGAAAGCTTTTATAGGATATATGCATTAGCTGAATTGAAAATACGAGTGTAATAACAGGGTGACTGGCTGAAAAGTAAAGGCTTGTGTTCAACCAGTGGCCGTACTGAGGTCCCCTGTTCAACCGTAAACTGCATTTGTTTGAAATGTACAGATATAAACTGTGAAATAATCAAAATTCTAAACATATGAAGGTTACATACTAGGGATAATAATAAATAAATATATACAGAAATTATCCTTTCTCTTGTAACCAAACTGTTATATTTGTAAATGAGTGTTTTTCATGACAGCTTGTACAATTGCACCCTCTTGTGGTGTCTGTAATGCGGACTAAAAGCACCTAATGGAGAGCTGAGAAATGGAAAGGTATGTAATAACTTGGATGACAAATTTTCGAGAATGGATTTGTTTTCTAGTCAAATTCACAATAAATCAACAACATTAACAACTTCAGTTTATAATTTTAATTAGAATATGCCCAAATATTTTCTTCTTTACTGTTGTAGGAAAGCATCAGTAATTTGCATCGTATTTCTTTGCAATAAGAGTGCAAAAATCATAGCTGTTATTCACTAGGCCAATTGATTATTTCGAGTGTATCTTAAATACTGCAGGGTACCAAATAGAAATGCATATTTCTCAACGGCACAATATATAGCTATATTCTCTCACCTTTACCTATTTGGCTAGAATACTATAAGTGGATTAATCCAGTTGAAGTTTGTTATATTCGAAAATTAGGTATGCATATCTGGCTAGTATTATTAGAAAAGCAATTGTAAGAGTCTACAATACCTAACCTTAGTAAATATATAGTAGAATTTATTAAGACTAAAATATGCATAATTTTTACTTAAAATAATAAAACTTTAAGAGTTAAGGCAATAAAACAAAAAAGGTGAGAAATATTGAAGCCTCCTATATAAGCTGTGTTATAACTGCCTTCCAACCTCTAGCCCTTTTTTCTTAGAACTTAAAAGTTCCCTAGTTTAAGCAAGCCAAACGCTACCGCTGTGGGCAGATGGTAGAGAGAACATTGCTACAAAACCTGCCACTCAAAGTGTAACAGATGACTGTAGCTACAGAAAATTGTCCCTTTGTTCATTTTGCTAATGAGTGTCCTCATTGCAGCAGGAGACTGAATAGTTAATTACTTACAATTCTTGGTTTTATCAGATGGTGGAGCTAGAGCTAAAGGGTGTCTGAGTAATGTGCAAAGTACAAGTTTGTGCAGAAAATGTCTTTTGTGGATTTTATATTAAAACAATAAAAGATAATGATTACACTATCATTTGAGATACTATTTAAAACTCAGTCACAGGATTAATGAAAATCTTTTTGTTTGTTTTATAGAAAGGTTCTTTGAGCATCAGCTGTTGATGCTCAAATACAACCAGAGCAAGGGAGCAAATGCTTAAGTCTATTAAGAACTGTAACAGTTACTTAAAGATCTTTTGAAATTCTGAGTTTGTGTTGCAGTGGTTTAGAGTTGACCACTGCCAGAGCAGAGTGGTAGCTGCTTAAATACTGTATGTGCCATTTTCTTAACGTTACTGCTTTCTCTAGAGTGTGCTCATCTGTCTACAGGATTTGGTAAAAGTTTTCAGTCAAAACAGTCACTCTAATAATTACCTCAGAGGCTTAATTTTAAATCTATTACTGCATAAAGACTGTTTAAAATTAAATACTGTTGAAGAATTTCATTAGAATTTATTAAAAAATTACATTATTAAATGTAACATTTTTGTTAATCATACTTGGTCTTTATGTAAACTGCTACTGTTTCTTCAGTAAAAGAAAGGGAACCACAAACTAATATGAATTACTTTCCATGGCACTTGGCATTTTTTTTACATGATTTCTTATAAAATCAGTGAAAATTCTGTGCCAAAACTTGACATACATTGATAATTTGTTCTCATAAATTTGAGATCAAAAATGTCTTTTTTGAGGAAAACCAAATAGTTATGGACTAAATTTTGCACATCATTACACTATAGTTTAAGTTTATACGCCATTTGAAAACCTTGGAAATTTATTTTTTAAGGTCTTTAACATTTTTATTTTTAAATATTTTTTTTAAAATAGTTCATATTTTTACCAAGCAAAGTAAATAATATCCTAAATTATCTTTATTAAGCAAAGAAACTGCTGTCTGAGTCTTCTCTTTTGTGTTAATATTTTAAATGGCTTCAGGAGTTAGTTAATATTCTGCTATTACTATAAAGATCTGTGCCAGCTCTGAAAGCTTTTCTATAATTTTAAAAGAAATATGTGGCAGTAAAATCTAGACAGCCATAAGACAATATATTCAAATGTTTTCAATAGCTTTGAAACCAACAAGAAAAAAAGAGTAGCTGTCCCAATAAGCTTCAGTTGCATAAGAAGTCTTTTCCATAATGGACGTGGCAAGATTTAAACAAAGGACACGCATAATAAAAATGTAAATGAGTTTGCTTTACTAAAACTATAACTTTAAAGTCTTTTGTTGCATGTTATCCTGGAACCTTCTTACAAGGTAATCACTGTTTGCATAGAGATTTAAACCGTAGTCTTCAATAGCATTAAACCCCTGCACGGTCTATGTGTGACAGGCATGCAAAGCCATGTTAATGTTCAGAATATGAATTGCCTCTGGGTGGCTCCGACACCAAGTAGAAAACCAACTGTGTTGATATCAGAAGGCCTGATGGACTCCATGCGGCTCCCAGCCTGAAAACTTCACCGCTTTGACATGTGATGTGCTCCTCATGACACTGGCAGCACTGTCACTGAGAAATGGCACAAAGGCAACAAGCCCCCCTCCTTAGCCATGCACTTTGCAACCCCCTGGTGTTGCCTGTCCACAGTCTCTCCTGCCTGCCTAGTTACGGACAGCACTTCATAAACACGGGGGGAAGTGTGGGTGGATAGGCCCCAGCTGCCTTCCTGGACACAGCCTCCATAATAAATTGACCTGAATGATGAGGGCACACAAACAGTATGATATGCATTATTCCTGTCAATAAAATGTCCCCATGTGTTATGGTCTTTGTATATAATGTACTGCAGCCTTTCTTCTAGCGGAGACCTATTTAGAGGCTCGACTTTTTTCTATTCATATTATGACACTGTAATAGAATTCAGAAATTATATGATACTGTGTTGTATAGTATTACACCAGCGCAGCATACTTAAATGCCCAATTCCTTACTTATAAATTCAAGGCATCATAATCTTTCAGGTTGTCTTTGAAGATGATGACCATGAAAAAAAATATTGCTCGAAAAACAGAGTGAGGATTTCAAAGAAGAGGTTTTTAAGCTGCACAATGAGGTTTCTCATCTCAAAAATGCTCTGAAAAAGAAAAAATATTTATTAGGTGAAACTTTAAACTGATTTTAGATGATTAGTTTAAACACAGTGTGTAAGAAATGTCACTAAAGTTGGCATTAATTAATAACACACTTCAGAAGGATGGCGACTTATTTCTGGACTGTTGTCTTTTTCCGGTTTTGAACGCTAATTTTGTATGTATTTGTACAGAAATTCATACATATTTATTCTAATTTTAATGCATATATTTACATAATTTTAAATTATGACAAAGGAATATTTGCTGTGGCTTTTGAGACTTCTAATATTGCCTAGCAATGTGGTTAGAGCTCATATTTTGTGACAGATACATGCTGTAAAGAAAAGTGTTGTTATGTAGATAGTTATATTTTTTAATGATGGTCAACTATTTTGTCTTATGGGAACTGTATTAAAACCTACTCTCTCTCCAGAGTAGTTTTTGAGCTTCTGCAAAATATCTGAATGTGCATTTCTTCATATAATTAATTTTGTGTTCCTGTGGAAGTTTCTAACAGAATCAGTTTATCTCAAATAAGCCATCACTACTTTTGATACCTGAGCTTTATTACAGTTCCCCTCTTAGGAAGTTTTTTTTCCCTGATATGTTCAGTCTTTACCTGCAGGTTACTTCTCATACATTGCCAGAGTGAAATATTTACTGGAGGACTAGAAACTACAGCAATGGAGTAGAATCTGGCTGTTTAGCTTTGTTTTGTCTGTATAGATTACAACCAGTATCACCTTTAATAGTGACAAGATGAATGTGATACAGACAGTATTCCTGATTTCTGTTTATCATGTGATTCATTGGTTCTTCTTATCTTTAGGTAGTTTTGTATGAGCAATAAAGAACCACCTGCTAAAACACTTTGTATTGGCTGTGACTAACAGCAAAGATGTCCAGAATTAGTATTAATGAAAAGCCATGGGCTCTCAGTCACACTTGGCTCTTGAACTTACTTCTTCATCTCTATCTGACCAGCCGGCTGAACAGCAGGAAGAGGCTGTGAATGTCAAGGGCGGTGGTGAAGGTCACAGTTCTGCCAGGACTCTCATCCCCGGTGCATTCCACTGCATTTAGAGACTGACCTGAAGCAAACATTTTGAATACATTAATGTAGGCATGTAATTTCATCGCTTTTCTCTTTCCGCTCTTGTTTTCAGATAAGCAGGTTCAAAGAATGCGGTCAAAAATGGAAGCTGATAAGCAAACTGTTCAAAAGGTACTGTAATTTTTACTTTTCTAAGCTACACTCCTTGGCAAGAATTGCACTCTTGTTTGTTACTGCAGTAACAAGCTTGGACTGTTGGCAGTGTATAGTCCAAATAATGTTAGAAAGCTGACTTTAACTTAAATTATGTTACATTTGGGGTTATGGTAGTATAACTCACTTTAGAGTAATGGTAAATTGGTATTCCATTAATGAATATTGTGATTTTGATTTTCTCATCCTGTCATATTTCATAGTGTTGATAAAGCACAGTGAAAATTCTGAACCTCAATAAACTAGTGAAATTACTGGATACTTTAATAAAAAGAGTAACACATTCAGTAAGCTTTTGAGGGCAGGGAAAGAAGATTTGTGTAGATGAAAGGCTAGTAACTTCAAAAAAGAAAATGGTTATTTTTTGTAACCTGTGATTTGTTAAATATTCCACTATTCCTGGATAGAACTGTTGGTATATGTGAATTACTATGTATATGCTGTCTGAATAAAACAATAGCTGAACACAGTATAAAAGTCAACTTTTTAAAAAATTCTCCAGTGCCAATGTTTATTAATTAATAAGTGATCTCAATAAACAGTTGACAGTTCTCCATGTTTTCCCAGTATAACAGCTAGATATCTTTCCAGTGGGCTTCCTATCTTGTGATAGTTCTCAAATTACTTTTTTCTATAGTGTATAGTTCTCATTCTGAAAATTAAGAAATAGACACAGATCTTCTTCCTATAACAAACATTTATTCTGTGAAACATTTCCAAAATGTTTTGTAGATAACTCACTTCTTTCTGGTGAAATGTAAGATACTTCTATATGCTAATTCCATGATTACTGAATTCTCATGCAAATTCATATTTTTTAGAAAAATATATATATTTTTGTGGGGACTGAGGCACTGGATTTCTAAAATCATCCCTTTCATTTCCTTTCCTTGTGTCCTTAAATGTATCTCTCTTCTATGTCCAAGTTTCCCGCTCTGGAAATAGTAATACCTACTTACCTTTACAGGAACATTGAAAGGGTAAGTTCATTAGGATTCTGTACATGAAATCCAAAATCTCAAGTGGAGTATTAATCAGTTTGTCTAATACACTAGTCTATCAAAGAAGGGATGTGTCCTCTGTTAGGTTTTTTCCTATTTAGGTCTGACAATGCTCAGGAATCCCGCTTACGTTTGAAGTCTCATTATGCTGGAGAGAAATGGCCAGTCATCTGTTCCTATACTGAATGTTTCTTCTTAGTTCATTTGCAAAGTCCAAAGAATATTTTTAATAGTACACTTTTTTCATCCTTTCACTCACAGAAAATCTTTCCTGTAACTTACTCTATATTTTCCTTTCCTTCATCTCCATATGATAGAGGACATTGTCTTACATCTAGTATCTTCCCATATACATGACCTCAGTCTGTGGATTTGGGCAGCAGTATAGGAACTCTTTTCTGTATGCCTCTCACATGATTTGGAAGTGCTACATTTGTGTAAATTTGGATCACATGCCTTCCTCCCAAGCCGCCTCCGGTATAGCCATCTATACAGGTAGCCCTTCACAGCCACTGTGCAGCCTGTCAAGGGAGATAAATTGTGGGACGGAAGTGCTGTGAGAAATCTTTGGAGCAGTCCTTCACTTCTCATTATAATTCTGATAATGAATCTAATATTATTCCCATAACCAAAAGAAAAACTACAATTCTAAAAGATTAACTACATTGACTGAAGTTTCTGACGTTTTTTCCCCCCTCCTTTGCATATACCACTGAAAGATGTTCTCTCAATAGCCAAAATGTGTATAAACTCTTCTTCGGTTAAAAAGCTTTGATCTTGAAAAACAGGAGCTGGGCATGAAGGCACACACTGCTGTAGTTGGACATTTCAGTCCAGAAATGAAGTTCACAAAGTTGATACAGACACTAGTATCCAATATACACTTTACAAGGAAGAGTTAATACTTAAAAATGAGATTCATGTGACAATGAAACATGGAGAAAGCGCTGTCTCTTACCTGGGCTAACTATAAATTATTGATTGATTTCTGTGGATGGGACTTGGAGTCTGGATCTTCCTCCTGTGCCCAGGCAGCCAAGCTGTGCACTGGCTGTGGGCAATTTACTCTAATTTCTCTCAAAGCATTGTAAGAGATGGTCAGTACTGAGTTTTTCATGACTGGAGCACTTGCACAGGGTTCTGATCATTGAACTTGTGGGCCTCTGAACCCATAGCTCCATATACCAATGACTTAACTGCTAGTTTACACTGTGTTCTGGTGGGAAAACATTCTCCTTAAAGCTGGATATTGAGAGAGCAAGCATGGAAGAGCCATAATCTATAGGCTGCATGTTAGGATACTCAGCATAGAGGAAAGGAATTTTCTATAGGTTTGTTCCTGCTTTCTTCAGATTTTTCCTGAGTATTTTTGCTTGGGCTTGGGGGGAAGGGGTGTTTTGTATATTGGTTTTTTGTAATTCATAGTCTAATGTAAAATGCATAAATGACATAGCAAGTCAAAACACAAGGTTGTCCCTTTCTCATGCAGTCACGGCTTTGGTATGTCGTCAAGCTCGTGCATGAGTATTCTGCATGAGTATTCTGTATCTAGTCTCATGAATTTCATATTCTTTGTGTCCAATGGCACAGCTTGAACAGAACTGGTGGCTTATTCTCATCATAGAGGGGTAGTTAGGCTACTTTTCCATGACTTGGGATATTGTAATCAAGCCCCATAAAACTCCCAGCGGCATACAATGTCGTCTGCCCTGATTTGTGGCTGAGCATTCTAGCTTCTAGGTTATTATGCTGAAGGAGAGCATTTCACCATTTTTATAAAAGAAAATTAATGTCAGTGTTGTACTCAACATGGCTTTAAATATGTTCAAAATGCAAATTCAGTAAGAAACAAACTCTGCTTCTGGTGACACTGAGAAATATAGATGTTTAACTTAGAAGTTCCAAGTGACAATAGCTGTGACAGAAGTCCCAGAGAGCTCAAACCCAGCAGAACCAGGGAAGTTTGCCATACAGTGTAACTGTTTAAGGCAGTTTGATTCTGGAACTTCTGAAAAATTCTTAAAGAATTCTGCTTAAATTACTCTTTAGGCACAATCCTTTGTCCTCGGTGAGACTAGATGTGTAATTTGCCTGACAATTTTTGTCTCACGAGAATACATTAGAACTCGCTGCAGATGATATAAACGTCTGCTGATCTTTCTACGAACTTATAACAGAACAGTGGAATTGCCCCTGCAGTTCCAAACTGCAACTGTTGTTCATCTGTAACAGGTTTCCACAAATATCCACTTTCCTGAGAGTTTAAGTCCTTGAAGTCTGTTTCTAGTGTTTTCATTACCTTCCTACCTCCCGTGACATCACACTCTACTTACGTCAAAAGAACTTTATATGTGTGACTCCTGTGACATTATTAAACCTCACATAAAAGTATCTAGCTCTAAGTGAATATGTCTATCTGTTACCACTCATAGCACAAAAATATGTGTATGTCCACATGTAGTATCTTGCTCAGGGACGCTGTACTTAGAAAGGATTTTTAGAAAATTATGCCTGTTTGTAGTATGAAATTCAACACTGATTCTCACATGTTTATATTTTAGTTGATTGAAATTCAAGAGGAAATGAAAGCAGAACTTGAAAACGAAATGCCATTGTATACATTATTTTTTGTAAACCTTCATTAACTGCAAATCTAATAAAATATGCAAAAAACTTTTAATATCCCATAGATTGAATGAACTTATTTTTTAAGTAGGAAAGTTGGTTTAGTTGTGAAAAAAGGTAGCAAAAATACTTTACAGTTTTATTTTGCTCCTACTGTATTTTGAGAGGAAAAGATATAAACAATGCTACTAAGAATATTTTTTTAAAAATTCTATTATTTTTTTTTAGGAGAACTTGGAAAATATCTAATAAATGCAACATTATTTGAAAGGATTTACTGCTGTTGTTTACAAATGTCATAGGCAATGATACAGAGTTTTGTCTTAAAATATTTTTGTATTCTGCATTAGTCTCATAAGAACACTGCCTTTTATTTTCTTTTTACATGATCCAGGAACTTTCCAGACGGCTGGTCCTTTATTTTACCATTTGACTTTTTTTTTTTCCTAGCCTGATTTCGTACTGGCTTTCACACTGATCACCACTAGTATGTCTTTGTTACAGTAAACTGACTGGGTTTATTATAATAAAAAATAAAACACAGCTTGACTTGCAATCTAAATGTGCTGGAAAAGAATATGATACTGTTTAGAAGAGAAAAGGTTGTGAATAGAAAATCAGTACCACTTCAGTTATTTAAACATTTGCTTTTCTGCAGCTTGTCAAACTTTGTGCCAAGTCATAGCTGCTTTACTTTGTTTTGTTAATCTCAGCACCATGTGTCTTGGGCTTTTTTAATAGGGGGCCAATCCTGCAGTACTTACTCAGTTTTCAGTTTCAGTGAGTCTGGGTAAGTACTGTAAGACTGCATTTTTTGAAAATTAGAGGGTAAAAAAAAAAATATATATATATATAATATATATAGAGTAGGTCTTTAAATCAGTTTGTGAAGGTTTAAAAAAACCTACAAAATAAGTTGCCTATTAAATAAATTTTAATAAGCAGCTTCATAATGAAAATAGTTTATATTTCTCATCACATTTTAAGAAAATTTCTTTAAACTGAAAATGTAAGCTGGACTGTATTGCAATTAGGAAATTACAAATGAAATATTTAAAAATTCGGTTGTCTAAATTTAGGCCAGGATATTGACTTTTCTCTTTCAAGGAGAATCTTTTGGGGTAGGAATGCTAGATAATGCTAAAAACTACAGTCTGATTTGTATATTTACCAAAAGCATTTGAAGGCATTATTGTAAGATGATATAACTGAGGGTTGATTCAGCTTCATAGTCTGTGAACAAATATATAACATGAAGACAGCTCAGACAGGTGTCTGGATCATAGCTGAGGCACCTAGAAAAATAATTTTGAGTCACAAATTGAGTTGTGATAATTCTAGGAATCCCAATGGGACCTTTAACATCAAAGCCTAAGTAGTCATGTTCAATATATCCTTAATGAATATTTTAAAATCTAGACGTTAGAAAGCTTTTATTAGTTCAGGAGAAAAATAAGTTTTCAAGATAATTTTTTTTTAAAAAATAAATATTATTAGATGTGTTTACTTCATTATTATTATTCCAGATTTAGTTCCAATTCTTACCTAGAAATGCTTCATCTAAGGGGATCTTCTTGGATGAGTTAGACAAACTTTTCTTTGTGCAGATGTAGTAGTCTGAGTTCAAAACAAACGAGTACATGAGTCCAACCTTGGCAAAGGATGTTGAGTGAGAATTGGCCTCACTCTTCCCTCTCCTCCTAATTCTAAAATCAAACACACAGTTGTCAAATATCTAGAACATGTTTGGGAGGCTGGTTCTAATAAGTGTCCCAAAACACAGTGAGTATGCATCACAACTAATTATGAAATGTGATGAGGATGCCTTGACTAATCTGCAATACCTAATACTATTTACCATGCAACTTTTTGTGGCCTTATCTTTTCACTGCAAACAAATTAACAAACAAATCAGTATTAAACACAGAAGAAACACAGCAGTAATGTGGTTAAGTCAGGTAAGTCAGAACAGTAATGTTCACAGTGAATGGGAAATAACACTGAAAGTGGAACACTTATCCTCTGGGAAACCGCAAGGAGTAGACTCAGTGAGAAATTACATGGTTTGCTCATTGAGACTTCTTGTTGGTATTCCGAGTGCATACAAATGTGGAAAAAAAGAAAAAAGAAAAAAAAAAAAGAAAGAAAAAAAAAAAGAGAAAAAAAAAAGAAAAAGAAAGAGGAAAGAGAAAGAGAAAGAGAAAGAGAAAGAGAAGAGAAAGAGAAAGAGAAAGAGAAAGAGAAAGAGAAAGAGAAAGAGAAGAGAAAGAGAAAGAGAAAGAGAAAGAGAAAGAAGAGAAAGAGAAAGAAGAAAGAGAAAGAAGAGAAAGAGAAAGAGAAAAGAGAAAGAGAAGAGAAAGAGAAAAGAGAAAGAGAAGAGAGAAAGAGAAGAGAAAAGAGAAAGAGAAAGAGAAAAAGAGAAAGAGAAAAAGAGAAAGAGAAAAAGAAAGAGAAAGAGAAAGAGAAAAAGAGAAAGAGAAAGAGGATGAATGCTGGATGTAAAAAGTGATCTGTAAGTAAGGTTGAATCTGAAAATATAAATCCTATGACATATGATTGGTATAAAGCATTTACGCTCTCAAAAGATGTCTAAGTTTTATCAAATTTTTAAAACAATTTCATGAAGATTATTACATAAATATAATATTTTATGTATTGCCATACAATTCTGCATATTTTGACTTCTTACAATAAATAAAAATGTTAGTGATAAAAAATCACATTTCCTAATGGTTTAAATCCTGGAAAATGCAACAATGTTAGATGAAAATAATAAATTACAAGACAGAATCAGTAGCAAAGTACTCAGAATTGAATCAGTAGTAAAATCCTGGAATAAATCTTAGGGAGAAAAATGCAAATTGATTAAACATGCCCCCTTTGCCATCTTTAATGATTATTATCTTCATCTTTAATGAATATTTATCTTCATCTTTAATTAATATTTATATTAATTTCATTGTCTATAAACAATATTGTTGCTTTCCTATCATTTGAGAAGTACAAATTTATGAGCAATGCTGAGCAATAACACAGAAAGGACTGGCTTTGTGACAACTCAGTACAAGCCAATGAGTTGCTGTCACTTTCTAATGTTGACAGTCCCAGCTTATATTCAACAGTGTTCAACTAAAAAGTGTCTTTTTCTCTATAGTTATTATGTCCCCAGATGGTGAAATGAGAGTTTTTCACTCTCATAGATAAAGGTGCTAATACAATTAGCTTTAAATCTGCAAAAAGTCATATGCCTTTTCAATATACTATTTATAGATGACTTCTTTGTTTCTCATTTTAAGATAATTTTTCAATAATATAAAATGCTGGTTAGTATTAGACTCTTTCCAAAAGTTTACTCTATAGTTTTGTTCATATTTCTTGGTGATTCCTTTGAGCAGCAGAAGGAGAAGAGAGAAGACACAAAAGTGCAAAGTATCCTGGTGTGGCACAGAAAAAAGTATGCAATTAATTTTATTTCCTAAGTAAAATATGTATTTTATTAGCTAATATTGCAAACTCCTCAGCTTGTGCTATATCTCTATTTTATTTGTCTTTGTCTAGTTTTCCTTTTTCCACTGGTTTCTCTTAAGCATACATTTGTGTTTTAACTAAATAATGAAATACTTTCCTTACTCTGCACTAGTAAGAGCCAACTTTCATTACAACTATACTCTTTTAAAAAAATAGTCTTTTTTTCCATTTAATCTAAATGGAGTTATGTAACATCACTACTAGACTAGGTCCTTATCTTCTACTCACTACCGCTTTAAATTGAAACATGTACTCGCTGTTCCTTGCCCTTTAATCTAGAGAGATTGATCATGGCAGATCACAGGGCATGATGTTTGACAGCTATAATTAGTGGGTAAGCACAGCTCAGGGTTTGTCCAGCTGAAATCAGCTCAACTGACAAGGTAGGAGTTCGGCACAAGAAATCCCTTCATTAGCATTGTACCTTATAGATAGCAAAAAATACTGAAAAACATTTAAAAACTAGAGCCCAAATCCTAGCTTTATCCACAGGCAACAATGCTGTGCCAAAACTGACAATGCCATGAAGCAGAGGGACAGGAAACTGGGCTGCTTGCTGTTTGACATAATACCTGCATATTTCAAGACCAAAAGCAGCACAAATTCTGCCTTAAGTACATGCCATAGTATTGCAGAAGACCAACATCTTACTGTGCTACAACAGTATCTTCAAACAGCAAGCTTAAAAAAGGCTGTCCGGGTATTGAATAAACTTTTATTTCTGAAGCTTAAGCTGAGAATCATGTCTATCCACATATGAAAAGTACTTCAATATTAGCTAAGTAGGATGTGATCCTGAAGGGACTGTGGAAATAGAAGGAGAATTTAAAATGCTGCTAGGGCATTTGGGTAAAGCTGGCAGCTGACTTAGTAACTAGCAGAAAAATCCTGTGTGGGTCCAAAGTCGTGCTTGGAGGCTCTTGATACCTGTCGTGGAGGTTCTCTGTGTTTTTATACCTGATATGAGGTATGGTTGCTTATTCTTGCAAATGTATGTACTTAATTTGTCCCATCCTTCAAGGAACAATAATATATGCATTATAAATAAGCTGAAGGAGATCTGACAAACAGATAAATATATAAAGTGATCTTACTGAATTGTATCTGTCAGTACTCAGGATATTAAGGAATCACTGAATTGTCTTGAAAGTAAATATTATTGCAGAACAAGAAATGTTATTGGAATATAGAAGAGTCTGCAAATAAAGTATGCATGACTACATAGCTAAATTTTAAAGTGGTTTTAATGCTTAGTGTAATTGTCAAAAGCCTCTAGTAATCTGTCACCCAAACACTTTAAAATATGCCCATGGTCAAGTAAACGTTGTAAGTCCACAAAGCAGTTCACTCATGGAATTCATTTGTTCTTCATGAAACTCTGGTTTCATTTAAAATGGCATGGGAGGGGATTCCAGTGACAGTGGCCTAACTGATTTTTATAAGAAAATTATGTATCTTTGT